GAATCAAATTTTCCCCATAAGGTACAATGTAAATAAGGTTAATCCTTATGTATTTTTTTTTTTTTATACCACAAAAATATGAAACTAAGTACAGTATGAATAGTGAACACTAACCTTTCTTGAGACAACTTCTGGCGTGGAGGACAGGAAGTGGGTGGGGAGGAGGTTTTTTTTGGCGGGAGAGTCCCCTTCCATAAGGACATCGGGGGGGAGGGGGGGACGACGACTTTATCATCAATTATGATGAAAAATCTGTCACTTTTTTCTTTTTTGCTGCGCTGCATAACCCTCTGGAAATGAGACCATGTTACCACCTTGCTTGCTCTGCCCTTTCTTTGGAGCCATGCTGGATTGAATAATACTGTATGTGCTAAAAAGCACAAAGCTTCACATCAAGTGTGCACAAGTCTGTCTGCGACTGTGATCTCGATTAGAGGAAGCCACAACCACGTGTCAGAATGGGGAAGATGACTGTTTTCATCACCCAATGTGGAGTTCGCGAACGGAAACAAAATTTTGCTGAACTTGCTGTTCGTGAACCAAATTGTTCGCGAACAGAAGTGTTTGTGAACTGAGGTATTACTGTATTTCAATTTTTTTTTTTTTTATGTCATAGGAGCTGTTCATCTTTTTGCCCATGGTTCTCCTTCAGGTTGACTGTCATCCTTGAGGGTTTCTGTAAGGCACTGCCTGCCCCTTCTTATACCATTTATATGTAGCTTAGGCAGATTATCCTTCAAGTTCACAGCCTTGGGACAGGATTCCACCTTTTTCCTATCAGGGCATACTCTTGATCAGCTAGTACCTCCTTTTTTAGATGTTTCAGCATCTCCTTTTTTCTTTTTCCCGGTGTGATACTGAGCCAGGCCTTTAGGTATTGGCTAAAGGTGGCCACTTATTTCATAGAAACCAGGAAGTTTATTATGCTTTCCTTCTGCAATAACCTTAAAGCCCAAAGGTAGAGAACTTCCATTCTTTAGCTGGTGGTAGATGCCTCTTCAGTCTTCTAGGTTCTATTTGGGACTTCGAAAGATGAAACCAGAAAGGGGCTAATGGACCATCTAGATCAAAGTTGCCAGATGGATATAAACAGACTAGGGTATCTTTTTGTTTTTAAAGGATTGCAGGTTCTTCAGTTAAGGCACAGTCTGTCAGATTTTGTAAAATCATTAAAGGAAAGGCAGGAGCCTCAGTGGAACAAATTTGCATAGTGGCTTTTGGGTCTATTCAGGTTACCTTAGTCTATCCCGGTAAGTGAAGGTTTTCTTGCAATAAGACTTGGTGTTTAGCAGTGAAGTTCTACAGGTAGTGGTCCCACCCTGAGGTAGACTTGTATGTATTTTTTCCTTAACTTTACTATCATAAGGGAGTTTTTCAGAAATCTATGTGATAGCACTATGCAGGTAAAAAATACTCTTTAGGGAGACGACAGTGATCCAAAAGACGCCTAATGTCTTAGCCCAAACAGCTTGGGGATAGAGAGCCCATGACTTAGTACTTGTTTTGCAGCTGAATCCATGATCTATAGCTTTGCACTAGAAATTGCTTTTGTGTTAAAAAAAAAAAAAGTTTTTTGCACTGTTCATATTAATTATCCATTGAAGAGTAGGGGTTATTGCACAAGGATATAATTCTAGTAATTGACTAGGCCATAAGGTCTATTTCACTAGGGGCTTGGGATATAGTCACGCGGAAAGAATTGCGTCAATCCTTCAATAGGAGAGCTTATTGAGGGATCTTGAACTGCTTTTTCACAATGTTAAAGCCATTGAGGTTAAGGGTAGGCACTATCTCAATGGTGATTTAATAAAATGAGAACACCTTTTTTACTAGGATCACTGAAAAAGGATGTTGGTGCTATCACGTAGGGTCAATGGATTATGGCCACACGGAATGAATTATTTTTGGTATTATAATAAGATAATATTTATGTGTCAGTTTTTTATATAGTTAGAATTTGGGTGAAGGTTGTACGGAAATGTAGTTTGTCACAATTAATTATCAAGTATATGTATCAATAAAATGAATGAGTAGGAGCACTTATGAAACTCGATTAAATAGTTGGAATCTCCATCGTCATCGATGGGTGCAGACCTCTAATTAGAGTATTTCGGATGTTACCTTTTTGGGGTGGTTTTATTACATTATATGTTTGAAATAGTTTTGGAGATGAATAGACTAAAATATTGGGAGAACTACTTCAGATCTGGTGGACACCAAAATGATTGAATGAAACATGTATGTGTAATGGTATAATTGATAGTTTTTTTGAAAAAAACGAATAAAAGACTTTGTAAATAGAAATTGCTTTTGTGTTAATGTATTGTATAGGAGCTGGCTCTATGCAAGTGATGGGTAGAAGTGCTGCTAGCTGGCATATAGAAGTGATTGGGTGGCTTTACAGCTGGCCAAATATATTTATTTTTTCTAAGCTCATGTCTGCTGTAAATGGTGCCTACCTTCTTGTGCCAAAAATTCAAGCTGGTTTACACTTAAAGCAGAACTACACCCTTGTATCTTTTGCAGCCAAGGAAAGTGCCATCTTGGCCTCTATTTGCATTGCAGTTGCCATGGTGCTGCACATGTGATGAGCTATGACACCAGCAATTAAAGGGCTTGAAAGTTTGGATGAGAGCTGAAATCGGCACATTGGCAACCTTGACAGTTGGCATACCTTTTTAAAATGGTACTAAAGGTTAGTTATTTTTTTTTTACCTTAATACATCCTCTGCATTAAAGGAGAACTATGAGGTGAGTGCTTTTCACTCACCTCATAGTTCTAACCGACCTGTGACAATGAGACTGTCACAGGTCAACTCAGTAGATCGGGAGGTGAGCGAACATATAACGGCGTTCGCTCACCTCTCGATCCTGTCACGGCTCTCTGCCGTGACAGGGGAGGGGCTGGATTCCCCCTCCCCGCTCCGATACGCCAGCGCTGGCTGGCGGAACGGACTGGGGAGGGTGCGTTTACAGCTGGCTCTGCCTCTAGATAGGCAGAGCCAGCTGCCACTCACGCTGCTGGGCGGATCTCGATGTCGGGATCCGTTCCGGCGTCTCAGTATACCGCGAGCTGTAGCTCGCGGTATACTGAGCTTAGGTTAACGGGAGGACGCTAGTTTGTGTCCTCCCGTTACTCTAAGGAGAACTATGGGGAAAAGCCCTGACCCCATAGTTCTCCAAGGTAAACACCCTGCTATCTGAATAGGCTCCCGGGCCATCTGATCTGTTTTTCCGAAGTTCCGTGTTGAGGGGCGAGATCCCGAGGCGACTGAGGGCAGGACAGCAATGGGCTGCTGCACTTGTCTGTCAAATTACTGTGAGGAGGTGGGGAAGAGTGCGTGGCTTGCCGAGCGCTAGGTGTCAGTGGATGGGAGCTAGCATGCACGTGTGTCTCCTTTACAACCTGCTAGGCACAGGAGACGCCCTTAAACATACGGGAAGGGGGTTGCAGTATGGAAGCTGTTGGAAATTAATTAAAAGGTATAAATAAAAGCTCATTAAAAGAACTATGGGGGTAACGTCCCCCCCTAGTTCTCTTTAGGGTCACAGGAAGACATATACTAATGTCCTCCCATGACCCAAAACTCAGTTTATAGGGGGCTATTGTCCACTATATGCTGAGTGACACAATATGGTTGGCATACACTCCGCTGGCTGGCTGACCGTGGGCTGTGCCTATCTAGAGGCAGAGCTATCTGTGCCCGCCCCTTGCCCGTCCTTCCCTCCAGTCAGTGCTGGAGAATCGGAGATGGGGGGGAATCCCTTGGGGGAGCTGTGACTGATAGTCGCCGCTCTCTGCAGGGAGATGATCAGGAAGTGAGCAAGTGGCGGTATGTTTTTGCTCACTTCGCGATCAATAGAGCCGATGTCTGACTGTTTCAGTGTCGCATGTCGGCTCTAACTATGGGGATGAGTGTAATTTACTCACCCCATAGTTCTCCTTTTAAAAAAAATAATTGCCATATACAGTGCTGATTTCAAAAAACAGCCAAAACAAGGGTTTAGAGAAACCTTACCCATAGCTCTTTAAAATAACACACACCTTTTTTTTTTTTTTAGTAATGACAATCTACAAACGCCAATCTAGATAATCACCAGCTTTGTAGTTTTTACTTTATTTCTCTATTTCGTCGCCAGTCTTCTGACAGTGGCCATGTTAACTAAGGGCAGGTTCCTAGCTCTCCCTTTACATCCTGGAACTTTGGCACATGTCCCTATGTCATATGACCATGCGCATCATCTCAGGGGAGACCTTATTTGTGCCAGAACTGGACCAGAAAGTAGATTAACTCCTATTTTTTTTAAATAAATGAAAAACAAGTTTAATGACTAATGTTTTTAAATCCGAATGCAGAGCTGCATGCTTATGTGTTTTTTTTTTTGTTTTTTTTTTGTGAAAGGGGGCAAAAGGTCTTTTTAATGTTACTTTAAAAGTTAAATGTTTTGAAATTCATTAAAGTGACCCTAAACTCAGGAGTTAGATCGTAAAAATGCATTAAAGTCCCATGATGGGACTACAATCTCCATACAAATTATTAAACTATATGTGAGATTGTCCACGATTGCACGGGCGGTATTGTGGCGGGAAACCGTGCATCTGCCTGGGGCGACGGGTTCCATTTAAAAATTAAGAACAATGGCTACGCTATTATCATACTTGGCTCTTTAAGTACCTGTGGGTGCCAGTTATGTGGTTTCCGGGGATTTATTCACATTTAGTTTTTTTCTAGTCTGGCACACCCTAGCTTCCGTCAACCACAGTGGTATTGTCCTCCCAGTACTACATGGATTCCTATTGTGTTCATCAAACTCGCCTCTTTCCCTAGTAAATACTGTGAAGAATGTATTTAATACTTCAGCCTTCCCCCCCTGTCCGTTGTAATCAAACTCCCCTTATCCGTTATTGGACCCAACTGTTCTTTCTTACCTTCTTATTGATTGTTTTTTTGCTATTTTTATGACTTTTTTTTTTTTTTTTCCCCCCTCACCCCCAAAAGGAAGGAATGATGAAAGAGAAGAGGTGCTGTAGGTTGCTGAAGTGCTGCACATGGCTATATGATGGAAGGGAAGGAGAAAGGAAACCTGTGTAATAAGACTGTTGGATGGCTTCAGGAGCAAGACAAAAATGCTGAGCCCTGGCTGTGGAAACTTTCAAATTGCTTTTCAACTGTTGAGCAGGCATTACCCAGTACAGCAGAAAAACAAGTAAGTATTCATTGAAGCTGCACTGCAGTATAACTTGCCATATGCCAAAAAGGAAACAAAGAAATAAAAATGTCAAAGTCCTCAATTTTTGTGTTTAATCTATGTAAGGATTGCATGCTAATCAAATTGATTTTCTCATCATATGAAGAAGGCAGTTTTCTCTGTTCACCGTAACAAGTTGCTCAGTGTTAGTTGTCCTCTATTGACAAAGCAAATTGCTGGGTATACAGCATAGTGCTAGGCTAAGACCGCAAATTTTATCATATGATCTGGTTTATTTTGAGTTCCCAAGTGACCAAATTCTTTCTGTCTTTTGGGACTGCCTGTTGTGCAACTAAGACAGCTGAACATCCTACAGATGTGCTGATAAACCATAGGCTAGAGCAGGGGTAGGCAACCTTGGCTCTCCAGCTGTGCTGAAACTACAAATCCCATCGTGCTTCTGCCTCTGGGAGTTATGCCTGTGTCTTGCATTGCCTTATGGGATTTGTAGTTTCAGCACAGCTGGAGAGCCAAGGTTGCCTACCCCTCGGCTAGAGGCTCTCTATGATGATTTTTTTATTTTCTAGGGCCGCAAATGTGCTTTTTTGGTTCTAGGCTCTTGGGAGTGTACTGCCACTTTATTTACTTTAGGAAATGAAATATAGGGGAGCTCGCTTGCTGCCATTTTGCTACAGAATTGTCATGTGACTGAGCAAATATAATGTTGTAATTGCTAGGAAACCCCTCACACCTGTTCTAGAATATAACTCTAGGAACCATGTTGACCTCCTTTTCACAGATGTCATGCAATGCATGCACAGTAGTGCTTCTCATTCGTCAGCACCGTCACTTGACCGCATTGACCGAGTGCTACCAATTGTGTGGAAAATTTGAAATCCATAGCGCTGCGCTGGACAGCAGTATGGGGTTCAGATGGTACACCAGTACTGGCGGAAGGTAAGTATAGTGTGGGGGGAGAGGGAGCCAGATTTGAGCGGCTAATTCCATTTTCCTAAATTACTTGTGAAAGTGACCTTACCCTTTAATGCACATTGTGCATGTTGAACGCTGTTGCCCGACTCCGCTTTGTGCCATATTGTGGTAATGTGGGCAGTACTCGCGCACACACACTGGCCTACGCATGCTTTTATTCACATGCAGATGGCGAGGGTGGCGGGTTTTTTTAAATGTATTTTTTTAGTTAACTTTATTGCTATCACATAGGGGATAACAAGCCCCTATGTGATGGCGTTTGGAGGTGACAGGTTCTGTTGATGTAGCCTGTCCCCCAGAACAGAAGATTGAGCGCCATCTTCTGTACATCCCGGCTTGTGATGGCTGAGACAGGATGTGCTGTCAGTACAGTGCTCCTGTCTCGCTGATCACCCAGAAAAAAAACGAGCAGTGGCTCCCCTGCTCTATAATTAACCCTGCTTGGCCACAGCAGGGCTAAAGGCAGAAAACACCTGCCTGGCGCCCGGAACTGTATGTCCCAGGCGTTGGGTAATAGAAATCCAGCACCCCTGATATGTGTGTAAAACTTCTTTCCCCAGTCATCTTCCAGGACAGCCAATGAGAGAGAGAGGGTTCTGCCCGCCTGAACAGGAAACGCATCATCCACATTAGATACAAAAAAAGACGCTCCTACAAACCCACCTCCTGTTTTTTTTTTTTTTTTTTTTTTTGTTTCCTCCCCACCAACAGGA